AACGTGCTCCCGTAAATCCTCTATAAATAATGGTGATCTCCACCAAACCAATGTAACACAAATTAACACACACAAAATCAATAAGATGATATTATGTTTTTATCTTTAGATAAAATAGAAAACATCATTGACTTAAGCGTCGGAGGGCACACTAGAGAAAACAACCTTTGGTGTCTCTACCCTATGTTATTTGTGTAACGAAGCACATGTTTTGATCCACACCAGAAAGGTCAACCATCAAAGGCAATTAAGGGATCAAAAACCGAGTTCAACACTCTCCAATTACACATTAATATTTTGACATAAACACCCACAATACCATTCATTGTAGCATTCTTATTTATGCTATGCTTATTTTCGCACATGTTTTTAATCACCCAACATTCTAATAAACAAAGCATTGTAGGTATTATAAGTGTCAGCTCGTATTTTCTTTTAGTCTCATTTATTTTTTTCTACAATCACGTAAGACTTCTGAAGCACTTGTCCTATTTAGTTATCTCGATTTGATTTGATGAATAATATCATCCTCAATTTCACCATCATGATGGGGATTGATCCTAAATAACTAAAGTGGTTACTTTAGATATTTCCTGACCATCAATATGTACTATTGGCTCTTTTTCTTAATAATTCTATTGAAAATGAAGCTCAAAGTTTAATGAGCCTCTATACTATCCTATACTTTTCTATAAAGCCCTAAACTATCGTTCTAATCTAATAAGCCCCTAAACTTTCAAGTTTCAATCTATTTAGCCCTTTTAGCTCCAAGTGCTACCCAAAATGCTATTGTAGCAAAGGTAAAAGTTGGATATTTAAAAAATGAATCCACGTGAAATATTTTATTAATCTTTGCCTCACCGTTGCGAGATGTGATCTTCCTTCGACGCAGTGTCTTCCTTCAGTTCCTTGGTTAGTACCTCTTTTTGAGTCCTCTCTATATAAAAGATCATACTTTCGTCTAGCAATGTTCCCATTCTGATCAATTCGTAAAATTATTTACTAAAATTTTAAAATTTTTGGGAATAGTATCTAGGGCTTTGATCGGTTTTGTTATTCTCTTAATCAAATTCCTTTCCCAAGTGAAATCTATTACTTAAACATAGAGTTTGATTTGTTTAAAGTTTCAATTCTGAATTGTGCTATTTGTTTTATATTTCTTTGATGGGAGTATACTGAACTGTGCTGGTGGACTTAAGTTTTGCATCTTTCAAATGTATTTAATTTGTCTAGTTGTTAAATTTGATGCAAAAAATAAAAAAGAGAAACGATAAGGATTGTCATGCATTTTGTTTTCAACTGTATTTTAATTAATGTAGGTAGCAGTAGAAATGGACTCCAGTGTCGCATGCTCATGTAGGTTCAGTTTTTAAATATCTCAATTTTACTTTTGCTACAATAGTATTTTGGGTAGCAGTTGGGATTAAAGGGCCACATAGAACGCAACGTGAAAGTTTAGGGGCTTATTAGATTATAATTATAGTTTAGGGGCTTCATAGAAAAGTTGGGTATAGTTTAGGGCCTCTTGAGATTTTGAGCTCTTTGAAAATGCATAATGTATCCTGTTTTTTTTCTATTAATTCCAAATCTCTTAATTTTCGAGTGTTTGTTTTCACCTTTCTATTTTAGAAATTATACTCTCTGGTCTCATCAACTAAATATTATATCATCAATGAATAGCATGCATCTTTCCACATTAGAAATTTCATTGATATCTATTTCTAAAATCTACAAATTAGATATCAATTGCAGACTATAGAGTCGGAAACAAAAAAAAAAAAAAGGGACTAGAAACAGAAAAGCGTCATCCACTTTAATCACAGAAAAAAAAGAACTGAAAAAGAATATGTATTGAACCTTAACCCACTCTAATAATTAATACCACACTCACGCCAACATGAAAATTTTGAACCAAACATTAATTACTGACACCTTTCAAGCAAGAAAGGTAACTGTAATACAACTTCAAGGCTAGTTCTAATAGTAAGTTATCAAGCATAAATTCAGATAACAGCATCAATATTTATCCAAAGAATATATCCTGCATTCTTAACTAAATTCAGATACACGCCAACAATATTATTTATTTAACATCAGAATATGGGTAAGAGTGTTCTGAACAGATTTATTCCATTTCACGTTGGGTGATCTACAGCAAGTCTCACAATCTTATGCCTGAATCCTGCTTTCATCTTGAGACGACCATCAAAGCCTGCTCCTATTCATTCTATACACGCTTCCCATGGCCTTCATCTTCTCCGTCGACAGAACAAACTTCTGCACTTTCCTCGTCGAAGTCTTTAGTATCTCCTCAAAAACAACAGTCTCTGGTGCCATATAACGAGGCAAACGATCATGACGATACTTCACAATCTCATCCTCACTCACCTTCCACCCCTCCTTCAGCTTCATAAAAGCACATGGCGTCTCCCTGCAGTAGTAGTGGGCCTCCCGCCTCCCAACCGCCGCAGCCTCAAGCACACCGTGATGCCCAAAAATCGAGGACTGCACTTCTATATATCTTTCTATATATCTTGTTTATATTTTCCCCTTCTGAAATTATAATGTCCTTCTACCGATCCTTGAGTCTTACATAACCATCACCTAGTCTTAGATCACCAGACCGAAACCACCCACCCGCCAAAGCTTCATCTGTTGCCTCCCTATCTTTGAAATACTCGCTTATAACGGTCTTCCCTCTTGACATAACTTCACCCATATGGTCTCCCCATCAGATGGAACGGTCATCATAGTAACATGGTCCTTGATATCTACTTCTATACCGATATGATGTTTGTATTTATATCAAACACCCAATCCAAAACCAACCAGGAAAACCAAATATGGCCCATAACCTCTTCGCGGTCGATCAGGCACAAGCGTGCGGTCGACGTGCCAGAGAGACAAATTTCAACCCTGTAACCGTACTTCAAGAGGGATGAGGGAACCCACGTCAAAAGCTCCCTTCCTAAAACTCGGGATTACCCGCTAATCTCGTTGTTGGGTCTCAGGACATCAATAGAAGTCATCTAACTCCATTCAAGAACAAAATAGAAAAATTTCATACTATGAAAAATGAAAGTAAGAGCAAGAGTGGATGAAATTCGTAATGGTGAGATTGATAATATACTATTACAAAGATAAAAATCTTTTTAAAAAAGCGGCTATAATTATCAGTAAACACAACATGCCTAATTTGAGGTGTTGGTAACATACTATTACAAATAATTTTTTGTGCAAGATGAAGCAATTATAGACACGGTGTCAAATTAAATTGAAATCAATAAATAGAGATACGTATGCTACTTATATAGGAGGAAAAAAAATGATAAATAAAGAATGAGCGGGTTGAACTAGGAAAAGGAGGGGAATAACGGGGTTAATTGGTATTTTCTTTTTCTTTTTATTTATTTTTAGTTATTGTCTTGCTGACAACTTGTCAGTTTTCTTCCCATTTGGTGTGTTTTTTAGGCTGTTTGGTTCATGTATTTGGCATTGGGGGTTGGGCAGAAAGCCTGCCAAAAGAGCACTTTTGGCAGGCTTTCTGCCCAAAACGCCTCTTTTTAGAGGTGTTTTGGGCAGAAAGCCTGCCACAAGTGCTCTTTTGGCAGACTTTCTGCCCAACCCCCAATGCCAAATACATCAACCAAACAGCCCCTGGGGGAACTTGACTTTTCCAAGACAACTCATCTCAATCAACGCAACCTCACATTTTTACATGTGCATGCAAACGGTGTTGTTCTAGTAAAACTTAAAAAAAAAAAAATCCTGTGTGTCAATACTTTCCGCTATTTACCCAAGCAAAACATGCAACCAAACTGGCGCTGATGATCTGATCTGACAGCTGCAGCACTCTGCAGAGCCTACAAGAGAATTGTGTCATAATTGGTATTTTGTGATGTATCAGCGGACTCTATTGGTTATAGTGAGGGCTGTTTGGTTCGCATTGTAAAGAGCATGAAATCGGTTTCCATGCCTGCCACATCAGCAGCCAGGGTGTTAACTTACGCTGACATATATCGTTACAGTTTTACTTACAATCTCTTAGACCATCAACAGCAGAAGGGCAAATATTGCCCTCCACCTCAGCTTTTGTCCCCACCAATTCAATATTTGCTTCCCTCTTTTCTTTCAGCTCCACAGCAGAAAAGCAAATATGTACTTTTTTACTTTATCTATACCCTATCATATTTTATCTTTCATCCACATCACTCTATCATATACCCCACCAATTCAATATCTCAGATTTTTTTTGGTGTCCAAATGACACAAACTTAGGCTCTATTTATAGTGCTTGAAAAATGAAAAATATTGATATAAAAATTAAAAATTAATTTTAATTAATTATGGGCCAAAATAATAAATTACAAAATAGGAGGATAAGAAAATCAGGTGTTTGTAGGTGTGGGGCCCACAAAATAAGGAGGATGAAGATTTTTTAAAATTTTGTTTGCAGGTGTGGGGCCCACAAAATCAGAATTGCCCATGGGCAAATTTTTCTCTCCATTTCCTTCTCTCTCCATTTGCTTTCCAATTTGCTTCACTGCTGCAACACATATTTTCACATTTGCTTCACTGCTGCACATGGTCTAAGTCTCATGCCTTATCACCTTTGCTTTGAGACAATAATGAAGTGATGTGATCATTTCAGTTATGCAGGTTGGCCATGATGTAGACCATCTTACGAACCCTGAAGGTATACCTGGAGTACCAGAAACTAATTTCAACATCCGACCAGAACTCCAATATAACTCATTATAAATCTATATTGGAGTTATTGAAAGGACATTAATAGGTGACTCCAAAGTCTTTTGAAACGAACAACTCTTGATCGGATGCGCCTTCCTCTTAAGGATCAGCATGGCTGATGGATATACATTAGAAAAACATTGAAAATAGAATATAACTAAAGTAAATGAGGTGGGTGGGGGGGATTACCGGCAATATTTTTCAGCACTCCTAGCATTAGAACTGAAAGAACAACATAAACTTCAGCATGATGACCAAAATCGAATGCTGTACTAATGTCTCGAAACAAATATCGATAAGCAGTCATACATGGAATATAATATCTGATGGTTATTATCACATTATTTGCATCCTAGAACGGAACTTTCAAAGTTATATCATTGTGCTTCTTTACATGATTCGTGAATCATGAAATTAGTCCCTCGAATCATTAAACCTGTTACATATGGATCCATAGAGCCGAAAGAGCAATCAAATTTCTACATCTAAAACAGTTCATGCAAAACTTCGCTTTCTGAGCAGCCAGAGAACTGACCAGAGAGTTATTGTACTTTTGATCTGGCTCTGAGTCCATAATTATTATTGTATATTAAGAAATGTTCTCTTTGAATGAAGAGCTGTTATTTTATCTGACGGAGCTCTGCAGTCTCCAATGCAAACTTCCGGTGCTGGGATAAGACTGAGTGGACCATAATTGATTTTATTCTTGATGACATATCGCTCTCTTGAGAAGTTTCCTGTTTCTTTGCTGCATTGAGTATTGTCTGTAAGATTTGGAGAGGGTCGCCATGACTCACTACTAAAATTACACATCTGCAGAGAAAAAACTATACATAAAAATGTGCGAAAAACCCCCCCCTGAAAATTCATGATAAGCAGGCAATCAGTTTTTTAGATAATAAAAGTAAGAAACAACATGCAGAACTGCTTTTAAAAAATGGTCTTTTAGATATTAGCCCCTTATACTGACGGTAATTTGATATTAGCCTCTTAAATCTCCATATTTTCAAATTAGCCCCTTAAATCTCCATATTTTGATATTAGCCCCTCAAGTTGCTATGATGTGTTAGTATGAGAGGCTCATGTCAACCCATAATGGCTATTAGAGGGGATAATATCAAAATATGAACCTAACACTAGGGTCTCATATCAACATACCATAGCTACTTGAGGGGCTAATATCAAAATATGAAATTTTAAGGGGCTAATATCAAATTACTTATAATAAGGGGCTAATATCTAAAAAAACCTAAAAATTAACGAAATGCTCTAGTAATTTATGGATGTTACATTGACAATGAATTTTTATCATTTTAGTGTTAGTATGCTTGCAAATGATGGGCATATTTCCAACCATGTTCCACTTGTACTACTATCTACATTTCCAGTTTGACAATAATAAGATAACGTATAGACCTAGTATTCTAGAAAATATTATATAACTTAAGATTCGTTAAAAGATTCACATCCCTGACTGTAGTATACTTGTCAACACATGTAATAACAAGAACACCTCACGATGAACTATTTTATTAAACAAATTTCAACCTTTCTTAATAATAAACAAGTATAGGTACCCTTCGAACTCTGCCTCAATGTTTGCCACTGCAGTTGCAAGTCGTGAAGCCACATTTGCAACACTTTCACCACCTTCAGGTGGCATGAAAGGATCTTTCTCATCAAGAGCCCAGATCTCTGCATACTGCTCATTAATATATATAAAGAATACAAGGAATCAGAAACACAATGTAAATCCATGAAGTTCAACAAATAATTCCTTGAGGTTAATAGTAGGCTTTGCACTTTGTGGTTTTATTGATTAGTACTAAATGGTTTCTCCTTTGGAAGTTCAGATAAGAAAGAAATTCTGTTTAAAGCACGTTATGATCTTTTTTTTCTTTTTCTTTTTGTCCTGGACATGGGAGACAAGGAAAGAAAGAAAAGAGATAAAGAAAAGAAAGAAAAGAGATAAAGAAATTGAAAGGATCACTTACCTCCTAAGTTGCATGGAAACGGGCACGGGTACTGGTACGGATGCGGGTACGGGTAGGGGACACGGCAAAATTGTAAAATGTAGGGTACGGGAACACGGCTACATATATATATTGAATTAATAATGTACATGAGATATAATTTTCCCGCTTCATGTGTCATTAAATAATGTACATGAGATATAATTTTCCCGCTTCATGTGTCATTAGAATTAAAATTCCGATTACATTTTTGAGTTTCTTTTATCATATTGATTATTGTGTCCGATTACATTTTTGAGTTTCTTTTATCATATTGATTATTGTGAATTGTAAATTACTAGACATCTAAATGACCCATTAACTATATAGTTTTGAACTTGGGTATGGACTGAAACGAACCCGACCTATATCTCATTAGTTTCAAAAGACGGATGTGAAGTGTAAGCTCTACGTCTAGGAAGTCTTTGACAAGTGTTTTAAATTAACGCATATATCGTATAATTGAGTACATGTTGTAATAAATGCATGCATAAATTCAAGAAGTGTCCATGAAGTTTGGGTACGGAAAAGTGTCGGGTACGTGTCCGGTATGTGTACGGCTTCATTATAGAAGTACCCGGGTAACATAGCAGTTACCTCCAACTTTAGACACCGCTTAGAATTTGCTTGTAGAAGCATTTTTAACTCAAATATGTAATCTTCTCTGTTCGAGGAAAATAAGATTTTTTATTTTTGAGAAAGTGAAGTTTTAAAGAAGGTAAGGTTCAACAAGTAGTTTTTCTTGTTGAGCTTATGAGAAATGGAAGCTTTGGCAGGATAAAGATTCTTCTTGTTGCATTATGATTATTTTTCAATAATGGAGGGAAAAGAATAAAGAAAAGAAATCTTAAGGATAACTTACATCAAGATTTAGTACCACTGCTGGAGGTTATCCCAGAAGTGTAATAAATCTTAAAGTTGAATTTTCTCAGATGAAAATAAAAAGAAAGGTGTTTTTTTTCTCTCCCAATGCCTTAGAAGTGGCAGGGGGTACACATCAAGGAATTGTTTTGTGCCAAATCACTCTAATAATATTTAGAAATAAAAAGAATATAACAAATCCACTTATGTTGTAGTAAATGAATTGAATAAGAACTCCATATTCCGTGTTACACATTTACCACTATGTAACTTAAATTACAATCACACATGACAAACTGTATAAAATTCTGACCTTCTCATGTGAAAGAAGCTCAAATGTTGGTCCGAAGTATCGTTCACGAAATTCTACCGTTGCCTATATAGGAAGACACATGGTAACTGGCAAAATATTTCATAAATCTCTATCAAGTAATATAATGAAAATAAATGCTAGACAATGCGGATTTTCAAGAATAATAACATATAGAATTGTAGTACGGACAAAAGAAAGATAAATATAGTGGGAACCATCAATTATATGAAGATATGAAACCATGTGGTTGAAAAGGATAAGTAGAGATTAATTTGAGCTCTTTATGGTCTTGAGATGCATGGAAAGAAATTGGAGAAAAAAATTGTTCATATTTTGTACTCAACACAGTCAGCTCATTATATATGCATTGCACTTACTCTTGATGCAGTACACCAATCTATGGCAAAATCCTGGCTTAGAAGAAAATAGCAATAGTGAGAGTATAATGCTCTAGAATTGGAAATTAAAGTATCCTCTTCTATGGAGTATGGATTTGCGTAATAGAGTGAATAAGTGATCATGATCTGGATTGATGCCAAAATCAAGAATTTTAAGGTCACAGATATGACGTCCAGGTTTTAAAACTCAACTTCCTTGGTCATAAGCACCTGCCAAAGCCATATTCACATAGCTTGATAAAACTGTGAAGAACAAATATATATGTTATTTCTTCCTAGTTTGGCACTAGTCCTGCAATGCTTTACTAGAATTAGGAACCTTGGACCTCTCACAGATCAGTTAATTGATGCAGTAAATGGATAAATAAAGAAAGAGTTTTGCAGAATCCAAACTCTGAAGGTTTGATTCTTTTGAAGAATATCCTCTACTGCAACAGGCTGGACTGGATCACAAAATGTATATTGGAAGAGAAATATACTGCCTGTTCTTTAGTATTGTTCATGCTGATCCCTTAGAATAAGCCGCGAAGATAACAACAAATCATTGTACATTATAGATAGATTCAATTACTTTTGTCTAACAATAGGTGCCAATTAGGAAATTTGGAACAGTGAACAACATAGCAACAGCAGGATGTTCACTGGCATGCAGCTTATGTAACAAGAAGGTAAATGCTACAAAATAATTTGCATCAAACATATTCCAACAGATTTCCACTGTTTGAAACCACAATGTTAATCTTACGTTATTCTGCTAGTACCTTGAAAAAATATTGACAATAAAACTATATGTATAATCTATCCTTTCTTTTGCATATCCAGTCCTTTATCCACTTTCAATCATCAGTATATGGAGGGGAAAAAATCTAGAAGTGTGCTGATGTCTAACATTTCCTCCCATACCTAGATTTGTCCACGCCCATCTTCAAGCTACAGAAACTTATACACCTGCATGACTGTTTTCTGGAAGGCATTCAGAAAACAAATTGATACAATAGCTTACCTTGCACTGAGGACTTTCAAATGGGATGCCTAAAACATCAGAAACTGCTTTAGCCGTTTGAATAGTCCTAGAAAAGGGGGAATAGAAAATATGAACGTTTTCCAGCAGGATTTTCCCTTCCTTCAGCTCCTGTATGTGCAAAATATGTAACGGAGAGATACACTATGCAAGTATCCTTAAAAATAACAAAAGCTGAAATCTCACTGTCAAAGTATGCATAGAGAATTCTTACATAGAAGCATATAAGCATGTGTGCATACTAGCATGCACACACCTAGCACACGTACAAATAGCATGGTTGCCTGCACACACAACCACTCATCCACCCATAGTCATGTACCTGAAAACAAAGTCACTGAACACAAAACAAGCGCACACACAGAGGGAGCACATGTACTCTTTCAGACCATAATACAACCAAGGAATTTACAATAAAATTACTGAATTACTTGGTGAACCATTAAGTTTATATTTGACGTGAAAGCATGCCTAGACACATTGCAATTAGTTCACAAAAAGGAATGCTCCAATTTGTATAGACAAATTTTCATTTTTCTTCTATATGGTTGTGTTTTATATTTTGGGAAACAAACAATATTAATAAAGAGGACTCATCTAAAGATAAAACTAGAAACATACCAATAGATACTTCTTTAGACTATTTACTTCTCCACTCCGTAAAAAACCCTTTTTGATGTAAGCATGGGCCTTTAACAAAACTTTCAACTTATGGCTTACAATTTACAGTGTTTGATTAATCTCTAAACATAAAATGTACATGCAACCCTCCATATTATCAAATATCACGGTACAATCTTAAAATAGTTACATTTGCTGCCATACATAACCAATCACATGAACTTTGTGTTGGTGCTTGTGGTTAAATCTGGAATAAAACAGATAAATCTATTAGAGAGTTGAAGTGCTGTATTTTAAAACTTTTTTAATTTTAGTTACTGTGCGTTTATGAAACGTTATGCTTAAAACAATATTTGGTCTACTCCGGTGTAAGGATCTCAATGCCAAACTGCTTCCAGGAATAGCAGTACATTACACTGGTGTGCACTAACCAGGTACTATCAAGATCTCCTCGATCTATAAGGCAAAGATCTCCTCGATCTATCAAACCTTTTGGTTCAAAATCTTTCGGTTCAGGTAAAGATCTCCTCGATCTGTTCAAACCTTTCGGTTCAGGCAAAAGATCTTTCGATCTTAAACAACATTTCGGTTCAAGGCTATGTTCCTTCGGGCACAGATTAAAGATTGCACGCTTTCAGATTCTGCAGCAGCAGCACAACAACACAAAAGAGATTTCTATCTCTATTTTTCGTATCACTTTTTTTCATATATCCAAGAGCTGCCCAAGAGGCACTATACATAGGCCTCTAAGACCATCTCAAATGTCACCCACATTTAATTTGATTGTTACAAACATAATAACAATTATAACAATTATATTTGTAATAACAAATAACATAAATGTTGTAACTGCTACATGCAGTAAAGACTGAACGCGAGGGTCGTGATCCTGCACAACATGAAGGTCGCATCCAGTCTCGCGTGAACGCGAGGGTCGCACCCTCATGCGAACGCGAGGCTCTCCCTAGCTGCCAATGCGAGGCTCGCCAGAGCTGCGAACACGAGCCTACGAAGCAGCCTATAATGCAGCTTGCGTGGAGCCACCTAGCCCCGATGCCTCAGTGAGAAGTGCCCCTAACAAAGCCCCACTTAGCGTCTCAGCCCGATTAGCCCCGATCCCCGACCCATTGGCCCACGGCTTACGACCCACTAGAACTTATGAGAGATTGATTAAATAAAAACAATTCTCGGCTTGTCGTTAGCAAGTCTCGAACACAGGACCTTTGAGATATCAAAATTTTAACTTTTCGCTACGCTACTAAGGATTTCTGAAAATTACCAGTAGTTAATAAATACATAGTTTGAAAACTTATTTTTAGAAAGCGGTTTTGACCAAAAATATACAACAATCCCCCACAAGTTTTAAACTAGTATCGTGTAATGGTGTTGTTGTTTCAATCGTCGTGCATAAGCTAGATGTCGCAATGACTTGAATCCCCTTAGACCAACTAAATAAAAGGTAGATGTATGGTGTCGCAGAGACTTGAACCAGCACATGTCTAAAATCTAGTGATCACACAAGATCAAACTCATATGTGATAGTTTTCACTTTGAACCACACTTTCCTTTGCCTTTGTCTTGCACATCTATGGCCTTGTGCATGTCCTGGTTTCAGTTAGGGCTCTAGGTATCTTTTCACAAGACATCATAGGAGACAGCCAAATCTCCACTCAGGCATAGGTGAGTTCTTTAGGCATGTTTCCTATCAAACATCCTGCATCCGAGATACTTTGAACTCATTAAGGCTTAAAAGCCAACCTCTCTCATGATAGGATTCTAGGTGAGTCTTTTAGGTGTGTTTCCTATCTAACACCCCACATCCGAAATACTTTGGACTTATTAAGGCTTAACAGTCATCCTCTTTATCATCCTCTTTACATGATAGGATCATCGGTGAGTCCTTTAAGCATGTTACCTATCCAATAGCCCGCATTCGAAATGTTTTGGACTCATTAAGGTTTAACATCCTCTATACCATGATAAGATTTTACTTGCAAATCTTACTTGACTTTTGAACCAATCATCTTATTATTAGTAGCGTAAGCTTTGACCTAATAACTTAATGTAAATGGTAAGTATTTGTAAGACTCACAAAACTTTGAGACCCGTTCCAACAGACGTCCTTTCAACTATGTTCTTTTTCTGACCCTTAGTCAAATGATCAGCCATATTCTCTGAAGACCGGACGTCAATCATAAAGATGACTCCTTGACAAATGAGTTCTCTCAAATAGCCATGCTTCAGACGTATGGTCCGCTTCTTTCCATTGAATATTGAGTTCGCTGCCACAACACTCGCCGTCTGATTATCACAATAGATAGTAATTGCGCCTTATAATTCTGTTAATGAAAGGTCTCAGAGAAAACAACTGAGCCACTCAGCTTCATCTCCTACAGCACAGAGTGCGAAAAACTCAGATTCCATCGATAACTGTGCAATCATAGTCTGTTTCTTAGACTTTCACGAGACGACAGCTCCACCCATGGTGAAGATAAAACCTCCAGTAGATCTGTACTCATCTGGTTCTAAGCATCAGCTCGTATCTGAATAGCATTCGATTATAGCCGGATATCTAGTGTAGAATAGGCCCAGACCTGTAGTTCCTTTCAAGTATCTCATCAATCTCTAAACATCACCCCAATGAAGCTTTCTAGAATTACTTGCGAACCTACTAAGCATTCCTATAGCGAATGCTATGTCTGGCCTTGTACAGCTCATCGCGTACATAAGACTCCTAATGATCTTTGAGTACTTTAGCTGCTCTACTGGTCTTTCAATGTTCGGTCGAAGTTTCTTGTTGTAATCATACGGCACTGATAATTTTAGCAGGTCGTAGTAGCCATACTTTCTTAGCATGCTCTCAACATAATGAGATTGGGATAATCCAATACCCTCTTTAGACTATATGATTTTGATTCCGAAAATCACGTCCGTAGTTCTAAGGTCCTTCATGCTGAACTGTGCTGAAATTTTTTTTTTGATAGATATTACTATCTCTAAATCACTTCCGATGATAAACATATCATCCACATAAAGGCAGATAACCACCATTTTCCTTTAGCGACCTTGATGTATAGACACTTGTTAGATTCACTGACTTGATACCTATTGTTATGAACAACCCCATCGAACTTCTCATGCCAGAGTTTCGGTGCATGCTTAAGTCTATATAGCGACTTAACAACTTTACAAACTTTACTAGCAGGAGCATCAAGTCCTTATGATTTCTTCATGTAGATCTCTTCTATGAGATCTCCATTGAGAAATATAATCTTCACATCTATCTGATGTATGACAAACCTTTTTTCATTGCCTATGCGATAAGTACTCTGATGGTAATGATCTTGTAAACTGGTGCATAGATATAAAAAAAAATCTATTCTTTCTTTCTGAGAGAATCCTTTCGCCACCAGTATTGCTTTGTACTTCTCAACAGTACCATCAGAATGAAGTTTCTTATGAAAGATCCACTTACAACTGATAGGTCTTACACCTTCAGCTACATCCACTAGCTCCCAAGTATAATTTTGGATCAATGAATCCATCTCATCATCTATAGTTTTTTTTTTTTACAGAAAAACGTCTGTTGACTGCATTACTTCTTGGAAAGTCTGTGGATCTTCTTCCACATTATAGGTGATGAAGTTATCTCTAAAATCTTTCTGTCTCCTGACACGTTTGGAAGATGGTTCGGTAACTTCATCATTAACACTTTCAGTTTCTCATAAAACTGGCTCCTCTAGTACATCCGATGTACTAGCATTCTCTACTATATCTTTGAGCAATAAACATTTGTCTTTGATAAACTTATCCTTAAAGAATTCTGCATCCTGAGTTTCAATGATGGAGTTGTTTCTAAGGTCTAGGAACTTGTAAGAATCATTGTTTTTAGCAAAGCCAAGAAACACACATTTGTTAACCTTTGGTCCGAGCTTAGATCTTCTGATATCTGGAATTCGAATATATGCGAGACACCCCCACACTTTGAAACTATCCAAAGAATCTAGATATCTCAACCATAACTGATGAGGAGTACTATCAGTTTTGAAATACGATACTCTGTTCAGAATCCAATTTGCCATCAGCAAAGCTTTTCCCCAATAGCAAGTGGATAGACTAGATGTGATTAACATCGAATTAACCATCTCGATCAATGTGTGATTCTTTCTTTCTACAATTCTATTAGTTTGTGAAGAATATGAAGCAATAGTTTCAGCAATGATTCCATGCTCTTTGAAGTATGCTTTCGATTCCTTATATCTATACTCTCCTCCTCTGTAGCTCCTGAGTCTTTTTACCTGAAGTCCAAGATGCTTCTCCACACGAGTCCAAAACTCGATAAACTTGCTAAATGCTTCATCTTTAGATTTCAGCAAATAGACGTGACAGAAGCGAGAATGGTCATCAATGAATGTGATGAAGTATTTCATGCCGCCTCAAGTGACGAAGCTCTTGAAGTCACAAGTATATGAGTGAATCAAATCCAATAGATTGGTGCCCCTTATAATACTTGGAAAGGGCTTCCTTGTCAGTTTTCCTTACGCGCAGACTTCACACTTCTCAGGTTTGTTACCCTTCACATTTTGAAAGTAATCCTAACTCCTCCATATTAGACAGTTTTCTATAATTTACATATCACAATCTATTATGCTATAACACAGAGGAGTAAGCAGAAGATGATATTTCATTAACAACTGAATTGGGCACGATAATATTAATCTTATACATGCCATCAGTACGATATGCATTTCTAAAATATATTTTCTTAAAAGATAACACAGTCTGTCTTCTATGGAAATTTAGTCTCATACATGCATCATACAGCAGGCATCCAGAGACTAAGTTTTTGACAATTAAGAGAACATGTTTCACATCCTTCAATGTGAGAGTCTTCCTTAAAAAGAGAGTCAGCACCACAGTCCCAGTTTTAAGAACAGGAACTATAAAACGATCAGCCATAGATACGTTTTCTTTGGCAGTAACATAAAAAGAGAACAAATCTCTGTTAGAACAGACATGATAGGTAGCACCTGTATCTAACCACCAACCAGAGACGTTGTTGGGAGTTAATACCTGATAGAGCATAGCCACATAATTGTCAACTTGATTAACATTGTGTGTTATTCTCTTCTTTGTTGCTTTACGGTCCTTGGCAAAATATCTTTGCTTCCCACAGTTAAAGCATTTGTCGCTCTTCTTGAAATCTTTCTTTTGAATATTTAGATTCTTTGGGTTTTGGTTCTTCTTTTTGTTAAATGATTTCTTTTTCTTTTTGGATGAATAACTAGTACCCTTCTCAGAGTTAGCAGTCACCATGTTAGCAAACGCCTTCTGCTTAGCAAGGAGCTCATTCTTTGTGCGAGTCTGAATCTCGTCCTCGATCCGAGTGAACCTCTTCAAATCAGACAGAGTCACATGTCTTTATCTTCTTCGAATATCCGTGGAGAATGACATCCAAGATGGAGGAAGCTTGTTGACAATTGCACCTGAAATAAAGATTTGATAAAAATTGATCTTTTCATCCTTCAGCTTCATAACAAGCTTTTCAAGCTCTTTGACTAGAGGCAAAACCTCAGTGTTATCTTCGAATTTGAAGTCCAGAAACCTGTCAATGAGGTAAGACTTGAACAGTTTCTCCTCATCCTTGTATTGGTCCTCTAGAGTATTCCAAATTTTTTTTGCAGAGGGCTTGTTGGTGTAAGCATCTGTCAGATGATCGGCCAGGCAGTTAAGGAGATAACTTCTGCAGAAATGATCATCTTTAGCCAAAGAGACTTCAGACTCAGAATCTTCTTCAGAGTCGGGTTTCTCCTTAGAAATCATATAGTAGATTTTCAGGAGTTGCATCCCAAAATCACTCTTCAATGTCATGTGTTATAGTTGGATCCGTCAAAGTTCTCTAACTTAAAACAGTCCACTCTAAGTGTCCTCGTAGGATCCATTGTAGATCAGAAATATTGCTTTAAGATTATTAGCGCTTATGGTTAAATCTAGAATAAAACAGATAAATCTGTTAGATAGTTGAAGTGCTGTATTTTAAAAGTTTTTCAAGTTTAGCTGCTGTGCGTTTATGAAACACTGTGCTTAAAGTAATATTTGGTCTACTCCGGTGCATAGATCCAAAGGCCAAATTGCTTCCAAAAACAACAGTGCATTACAATGGTGTGGACCAACCAGGTATTGTTAAGATCTCCTCAATCTATCAACCCTTTTGGTTTAGGCAAAGATCTCCTCGATCTGTTAAAACCTTTCGGTTCAAAACCTTTCGGTTCAGGCAAAAGATCTTTCGATCTTAAATAGCCTTTCGGTTCAAAACCTTTCGATTGAGAAAGATCTTTCGATTTTAAACAACCTCAGGGCTTTGTTCCATCGGGAACAGATTAAAGCTTGCACGTTTTCAGATTCTAGAGCAGTAGCACAACAGCACAAAAGAGATTTTCGTCTCTATTTTTCGTATCACTTTTTTTCATATATCCAAGATATCCCCAAGAGGCACTATATATATGCCTCTAATACCAGCTCAAAGGTCACTCACATTTAATTTGACCATTACAAACATAATGACAATTATGACAATTATGTTTGTAATAACAAATAATATACATGTTGTACTGCTGCATGCAGTAAAGTCTGAATGCGAGGGTCACGATCCTGCGCAACATGAGGGTCGCGTCCAGTCTCGTGCGAACGCGAGGGTCGCGTTTCCTCTTGTGAACGCGAGGGTCGCACCCTCATGCGAACGCGAGGCTCGCTCGCATGCTGCGAAGCAGCCTGCGAGGCAGTCCTGCGTAGCAGCCTGCGAAGCAGCCTGCGATGTAGCCTGCGTGGCGTCACCTAGCCCTGACGCCTCCGTGCGAAGTGCGCCTAACAAAGCGTCACTTAGCATCTCAGCCCTATTAGCCCCGATCCCCGACCTATTGGCCCACGGCTCACGAGCCCACAGCCTATGACCCACTAGAACTTATGAGAGATTAATTAAATAAAAAGAATTCTCGGCTTGCCGTTGGCAAGCCTCGAACACAGGACCTTTAAGATATCAAAACTTTAACTTTCAGCTACGCTACTAATGATTTCTGAAAAATACCAATAGTTAATAAATACATAGTTTGAAAACTCATTTTTGGAAAGCGGTTTTGACCAAAAATATCCAACACTTTGTTGTGGACAGGAGACTTAAACAAAGCTTCAAATTACGGGTTACAGGTCACAATTTCTAAACTCGAACTCTTTTTATGCAAACCCTTCATGTTATCGAATATCATAAATTCAATCATACTTAGGTACTTCAGTTGACATGTATCACCAATCATATCAAATTAGTTGCCAGCCAGAGCATTCAATAAAACTCCAACTTTATGGCTTACAATTTGGATCGCATTAATTTGCTAAACTCTTGATTCTCTACATACAAGCTTCTATTTGCAACCAGCTATGTTATGGAACATCGCAATTCATTACAAAGCTAAGTACTTTTTAAGACACATATCTTGCCAATAATATCACATATTCATTTATCCAAAACCCACCAGTTTTAGGCTAACAATGCAGACAAGTTTGCCCAACTAAAATCTCCTATAAATTATAGTATTATACATACATCACAATATGTTCATTTATCCTAGCTTAATCACTTTCCTTTGATACTTCACCTTAAACATTTAAAAAAATACAAAAGAAGAAAGATTACCTTACTAAATAATTCACCAGCCAATTTTGCTTGATTTAGGCCTTCAGAACCCAAACCAAATTCTGGGAGAACGCCATTTTCCTGAATCATCACAGTGATCACAAAATCAGAGCACAAATCACCAAAATTTTGTTGGATTCAAACAATTAAGAAAAGGGAGATCGAAACCAAGGAAGAAACGATGAGGCCCTTCTCATTTGGAATACTCTTCCCATGTCTCAATACCCAGTAGCTATTTCGAAGAAAGGGTGATCTCTCGGCCGCCATTTCTCAATAGTATAACTGAAAAAGAAGGAGAAAACGAGGTTCCCCCCTAAAATGTGGGAACGATTCGATGAGGGATATTGTGGGGTGAGATGGTCCTGCGGTTTACGTTTGGGACTAGTTTTATTTGAGTGGAAATATCGGATTTGGATCCTCTCCACTACAAAAAAAAGTAGTGGAGAGACCACTACTTTTAATCTCAAGCGTTGATTATTTAGTAGGCAGTTATGATACAATCTAAATCTAATACTTACCATACCCCCGTGTATTGCACTCATTCCTAATTTGCACTAAAAGAAAAAATCATAACCATCAACTAGATAATCAATGGCTGTGATTATGTAGTGGTCCCTCCACTATTTTTTTTGTAGTGGAGAGGATCCGAATCCGGAAATATCACGCCTGTTAGCGCGGTTAATTAGCACTGTTAAATATCTAATATTTTCCCTTACACCTTGTTTGGATGGAGGGTAGAGAGCGGGAGGAGAAGGGAAATGCAGCTTTCACCCTGTTTGGGAGTTTTTATAAGGAGGATAGAGAGGTGGAAGGAAGGGAAAGGAGTGTAAAAATCGTGTGCCCCCCCCCCCCCCCCCCCGACTTGGCGGTAGAGGAGGGTAATGCCCTGTTTGGATGGAGGGTAGAGAGGGGGAGGGAAGAGAAATGTAGCTTTCACCTTATTTGGGAGTTTTTGTAGGAAGGGGTAGAGAGAAGGAAGGAAGATAAACGGAGGGTAAAATTGCTTGTCCCCCCCCCCCCCCCGATTCGGGCGGTAGAGGAGGGTAAAGGGGTGTAATGACATTCTTATCCCATCAAAACAAATAAAAGGACTGATGTGTTACTAGTATAAGGTCATTTGTGTAAATTTACATATATTTTCTTCCCTTCCCTTCCCTCCATTATTACTCCCAAACAAGTTATATTAATTTCACCTTCATTCACCTTACTCAACTCCCAAACAACATATTACAATTCTCTTCCCTTCCCTTCCATTTCCTTCCCGTTGTTTACCTTTCCTTCCCTTCCCTTAGGGCATGTTTGGATTCGTAGGGGGTGAAGGGGAGTTAACGGAAACTGAGTGAAGGGAAGGGAAGAGAAAGGAAGGGAAGGGAAGGGAATTCTCTTCCCCTTGGTTACACCCCAATTTGAGGGGTAACAATTTTTATACTATTAGGGGGTGAACCAAGGTGAATGGAGGTGAATTAACTTCACCTCCTAAGTGTTCCCAAACAAGGTGAATGGAGGTGAATGGTTCCCCTAACTTCCCTTCACCCTCATTCCCCTCAATCCAAACAAGCCCTTAGTAAACTCCCAAACACACCATAAAGGAAATCATTGTGTGTGTAGTGAAATTCTTACCCCCATCAAAACAAATAAAAAGGCTGATGTTGTGAACCCTATTCTCCCGCGCTCTCACTCCCCGCGAGCTCTCTCTCCCGGCGATCTCACTCCCGGCGCGGTTCCCCCTTCATTCAGCCTCGTCGACGTTGATCCTTCAGATTTGATCTTTATGATGATTTCTCTTCGATTACACACATCTGAAATTTTCACTTATTATGTGGATTTTGTGAGATCTGGATTTTTTACTTATTATGTGGATTTTGTGAGATTTTGTAAGATCTAAAATCAATGAGAATGAGTTGTTTCCCCCCTTATTTCTGGTTGCAATGACAGTTTAGACTACGAAACAAAAAAATGTTGAAAGTAAATTGGTATAAAAGCAGTCAGCTAATACCAAATATTACAAACTGAGTTAGTGGATTGTAGTATGAACTTTGGAAGACTGGGTTAGTGGATTGTAGTGATTTGGAAATGAAATCTGAAGCTGATCATATTCTCTTAAATGGTCAAATGTACATGATGAGTTAGTTTGCACAATGTAAATATTGTTTTGTCGCTGACACATGTCTGATTCTGAGTAGATTTTACAAGGGGAGGCACTAGGGGCACACCCTCTATCACAATCCCAACCACACCACCTCTCTTGCTACAGTGCACGGGACCCATATGATATTTTAAAAAATAAAAATATCATGTGGGCCCGTGCACTGTAGCAAGAGAGGTGGTGTGGTTGGGAGTGTGGTAGAGGGTGTGCCTCTATCATTATTTATTTTACAAGCCATGAAGATACTGGTATAGATTCATGTCTTCATCTCGTACTGATGTGATAGAGCTGAGATAGCTGAAGTACTAAAGTGATTAAGGTGTTTTCCTCAGTGAATACTTCACAGTAGAGGATATTTGGAGTTTTTAACTTGTTGGTCCCCTAAAATGTTTCATATTTCTAATTTCTAATTAGTTTAAGTAGCTTAATTAAAATAGTTCATTAATCGACTTTTTTGTCTAATTTCTTAACTCTAGCTTGGTTAATGGTTAATCCAAAACAATAGATTAGCATTTTACTCAATTCCTTTATTCCCCAAAATTACAAGCCTCCATTTATATTGTAATAAGAGCTTCTAAATTTATCATTAGTTTGTGTATAATTAAGGATTCTTAATTTTCTAACCTAAGTGTGTTATTTTTATATCCTCACATAGATAATGTATGAAGCATGACTCAAATTTCAACATGTATGCCATTGTGCAATTGGATATGTTCTTTGTGTGATTGCTTATTGGTTTATACAACAAAGAGAAAATAGAAGGAGATTAAATAGTGAACCCCAAGAACCTAGAAAAGTAACTAATATGGTGCGAAAAATATTATCACAAAGGCTTGTATGTAGGGAAATGATCCGAATGAATCCACCGGCTTTTCATCAATTATGTGGAATATTAGAGAGAGATGGCGGGCTTAAACGAACTCAAAGAGTTACTATTGAGGAACAAGTTGTAAAATTTTTGTATTTGTTGGGACACAACGTAACTACTCGTGAGGTTAGTAAGATATTTGGAAGATCTGAAGAGAGTGTGAGTCGTCATTTTCATAATGTTTTAAGAGCTATGATAGAGTTGGAAGAGATATTTTTACTGCAACCCAATAGAGCACAAATACCTCCACAGATACTCAACAATCCAAAGTTTGATCCATATTTCAAGGTGATGATAAATTTCACAAATTCTTACCTTTGTATAGGTTGTTAAAATTAGAATTTAACTAATTACTTCCTATATTGTCAGGATTGTGTTGGAGCAATAGATGGAACACACATCCGAGTAAATGTTTCACCTACTGACGCTCCAAAATATCACGGTAGGAAAGATCATCTGGCACAAAATGTGTTGGCTGCCTGCACATTTGACTTGAAATTTACTTATGTCTTACTTGGGTGAGAAGGTACTGCATCTGATTCCAGAATTTTAAAAAATGTTTTACAATGACGATTTCTACTTAAAATCCCTCAAGGTAATCATTAATCCTGAACTCTCTACTAATGACAATGAAACATTTTTTTAAGTTATTAATCACAATGAAATTTTTTTAGGAAAATATTATCTCGCTGATGGTGGATACAAGTTAAGAAGTGGAATAATTCCACCCTATAGAGGAGAACGCTACCATTTGAATGAGTATTCAAGAAATCCACCAAGGACTCAACATGAGCTGTTTAACCTAAGATACGTGTCACTTCGCAATGCAATTGAAAGAGCATTTGGCGTATTAAAAAAAGATTTCCCATTATAGCGATCTCGACTAAACCGAATTATGGTGTTAAAGTACAAAATCAAATCATCCTAGCTTGTTGTATTTTGCATAATTTTTTAATGGGTACCTACCCAAAAGATTATTTCCCTGAAGGGGAAGAAGGTGATAATGAAAACACATTTGTCGAAGATGATGTGGACGAGGATGAAGATGAACAAAGAGGGGAGTGTTTAAGAGATTTCATTGCAGCTTCTATGTGCCAAGATTATAATGCATGATTAATGTAATATATAACTTGCTTGGAATCTCTATTTGTCTTGAACTTGATATTTGTTGGTTTAATGTTTAATATTTGTGTTGTGTATGATGATTGTAAGACTAATGTTTTCTATTTCTATTGTTCTTGATTATTAGACTTATTTATGATGATTGTAAGACTTAGTTATTTTTTTGTGAAAATAGTATAATCACCATTCAGATTCCTTCATAGACTTGTAAATAACTTTCTTGTATATTTACTAAGATTATTGTGTAAAATATGAATGTAAATGTATATTTTCTAACATTATTGTGTAAATTAGGAATGTTAAAAAGAAGGTATACGGATGGTGATTCTTCTAGGGGAAGAAATCACATCTCTTTGATGTGGAATTCTGCTATGGATGAGAAGTTAATTGAAGCTCTTTTGCATCAAGATGTGATTGGAAATCGAGTACAGTCTGTCTTTTTACCAACGACTTACAATCAAGTAGTGGTTGAACTCAAAGAAATATTTCCCGATAAGCCATTTGATAGGGATAAGGTAAAAAATCGTGTGAAGTATTTGAAGTCAAAATGGACAGCTTGCTAGGACTTGTTTAAGAATTCGGGCAGCGGCTTTGATTGGAATCAGAACACTAATATGTAGAGTGCGGAACCTGAAGTGTGGGATCGACTAATTTAGGAGCAACATTAATAGCATAACCTAGGCTAGGTGCACCGTGCATGTCCATGATATATTATGCAAGCAAGATGAAAAAATATCAAAACAAGATTAGCAATAATATGAAAGTTTGGATCTTTAACTCAAGGCGGTTACGTCACAAATCAAAGAGCACCAAGCTCTGATACCAATTGAAAGTACCATAGAGAGGGGTGAACAGGATATATGCTAATCTAATCCGATATTAATGCCAATTAAAACTTATTTATAAATATATCCTAGCAAGATTGATATATAATGAATTATTTGCAAGGATATGTAAACTCAGGGCAAATAAACATGAAATGATATTAGACAATGTAAACACGATAGTAGAAAAATGAACAACGCAAACACAAGAAAATGATCATGGAGTTCGGTCCTTCCGACCTACGTCTCTGCTCCCCACTCCTAGGGAGAATCCACTATCACAATGGGTTTCGATGTTCATCCAAAAGCGTTTGCACCTCACAATTTGGTTTTCTACGCTCACCGACAAACGTTTACAACTCACACTTGTAACTACAAAAATACCACCTTAAGTGTT